CCATGGACTAGAACACAATACCTTTTTTTAGAAAACTTCCATAAAGCAGTTTTTATTGCTATAATTTCTTTTGTTTTTTTCTGTCACCAATTAATGGAATGCCCTATATCAATATGTAAATGATGGCCTTCACATCATAATATCAAGAGGTTCATGTATTCTTGATCATATCAATACCGTAATACAGCATACTCATTGATGTGCAAGCCTTTTCTTGCAGAAAATGGCACTAGCATAATGCATGTTCTTCTGCGGGGAAACATGTGAGTAGTGGTGGTGATACTTTTTTTATACGGAGGTCACTCTGTGCATGTTGCTGTTGCAGAATTTCATGACTCTGTCATAAATTTGTCTTACCTTTCAGATATTTCAGATTTCCCCAACCTCGATCAGATTTATTTGAGAAATGTAGCCATGCGCCAGGTGCGTGTCGCAGATGTTTTTGCTGATTCTGTGTTTATAATGGTTTATAAAATTATAATCATGGGTTATCGTGCATCATATTGCACTGAAATCGTAATCCTGTTGATGTCGATACAACTTCAAACTGTTAGTCCACGATTTTCTAAAACAACACAGCAAAGGAGGAACAATAAACATGTATTAAAATGTAAACAAATACATTGCTGAATCCGACACCTCGTTCCAACAACTACACTGATCCTGAGGATGAAAGGGTCAAGGCTATGGTTGAAGGTACTGAGACTGAGAGATAAACAAGGCACTCCATGATAATAAAATCTTACACATCTTTTGGTGAGTATGAATGATATCCAGTCAAACCTCTTTAGGACGAACACCAAGGGACCGATGGTATTTATTCTGTGAGTTTGTCTTAACCTTTTTTATAACGAGTGAATACAATTATTTCTCCAATACACATACGAATAGATTTCTTCTACAGCGAAAGATTCTAAGCCACACCGACTCATTGACTCGTCTCGTATGAAACAAAAGAGTCACTAGAGAGGTTCTGCAAAACGAAAATGTGTACGAACTTTCGCTACATCATGAAGTGCGAAACTTCGCACGAACTTTCGCAACTTTGGACGCGAAATTTGCGGGGAATGCGAAATGAACTGTCGTAGGAAATTTCGTGAGATCGGGTCATGGCGTACGTGCACTTGGCCCGCGCAAACTACGAAAATGTGCAGAACGCAAAAGTTCGTGCACAAATTCGTACACACTTTCGCAAGGAATGTCGCGAAACTTCGTTCGAATTTTCGTTTTGCAGAACCCCTCTACTGAACCTTTCTTTAGCAACATGACGGCAACTGAAACAGCAACAGAGAAAGTACGATACATGTACTGCACATTCTTGCAGGTACTATAGGTACTACAAACAGATTGCAGATCGTAATTCTTGCTTTGGAGGCACGAAACTTTATTCACGGAGTCATAGCAAACAAAACAAGATCATCGGATAATAAAAAGTGTGGCTAGACACGGCTACTCCGCAAGAGTCTCAGTCACGCAACTGACAGTCGTGGACTGCCAGCACAACGAAACTTTATTTGGGGCAGTGCAATCTCGGCGGTACTCACAAATCAAACAGCCCAGACTCGAGTAAACAAATCCAATCATACAAGTACCAGATTTTCACGATACGAGACTGCACCCATTGGCTTGTTTCGTATGAAGCAAACAAGTTACTGAACCTCTCCACAATGGAGATTTTCCCTGATATGCGAATTTATTTGGCAATCTCGGTCAATGAGTCCTTGAACCGTTCCCTCCAGATTGGGAACTGCAAACGATAGTATGCCACTGACCAGTGCCTTACTTGTAACGTACTAATGTGCAATGAATATGAGTATTTCGACAACACATCTAACATAAGCCTTACCGTCAAGAAGGTGAACTCGCGTTCTTCGCACACTGTAGGCAAGGGCAAAGAGATAAAAATGGATCTAAATCCGAATAAAATCAGCACACGTTTCCGTAAATGAAAGGGTGAGCATAAGCGAATGAATCGAAGGAAACTGGTCAACTCAGAGATCACCTGTCATCGAGTATTCCGTAAAAGGAGGCCTCGGCAGCGAAAAAGCTAAATTTAGAAAGGAGATCCTGTCAGCTTTTCCATTATTTATTGCATTCCACCCAAAATCAGCACACTTTTTCGTAAATGAAAGAGTCAACACAAGCAAATGAATCAAAGGGAACTGGTCAACTCACCTGTCATTGAGTAATATTCCGCGAAAGGAGGTCTCAGCAGCGCCGAAACGAAATAAGCCAGGCCAGAAGACGAAATATCCGAAACAGCTCATGCAAGAAGCAGTTCCAAAGAAGGAAGTTCCTCTTGCATGCACATCCGAAATTCGCGAAAAGGCAACAACAAAAAGTCTGCAATGCACACGCATGCGGTCAGCCGGCCGCGCGATGGTAGGAGCCATGGAGTAGCTCCCTGGTCCAGGACCAGGTACCGAGCATCTTACGTAGAAACTTACGTAGCTACGTAGACAACGTGTCTGAATAGCGGTGTCGTTAGGTAGCGCCATGTGAACACAATAATAGAAAAGCTGACAGGATCGCTTTTCTAAATCAGTGACGGTCGTAGCTAGGTCGGACGGTGCGTTGACCCCGTTGAACTTTTGCTACTACAGTACAACGCCCTCTACAAAAAAATTCCCCTGTTATTTTTAAACAGAACCATTATACATTAGCAGCATATGTGAGCATAATGCGGCATAATATGATAACTTTTAGCATAAAAATAGCATAATTCTGCCATTTTTCAGCAATGCAAAAAGCATAATTTCACGAAAATATAAGCATAATCTGTCAAGGCCTATTTTGCACAGAACAATCATATACATGTACATTAGCAGTATATGTGAGCATAATGCGGCATAATTATGATAACTTTTAGCATAAACTGAATATCATAATTCTGCAATTTTTTAAGAAATGCGAAATGCATAATTTCACGATAATATTAGCATAATCTGTCAAGGCCTAGTGAGATCGACACCAGAATGGAGAAGTTTATGGGCAAATCAGCAGCTGACAAGTCACAAAATAAGGCTGGCGTCGAGTGTTGTCCCAGGATGGAGGAAAGCTGTCTTGCAAGCTCCTGTCAAGCAGTTGAACACAGTCAGCGCAGCACACGTTCTGTTTTGTCATGCATGATTTATGCTGTACGACTCGTACACCGTACAGCACTACAGTACAAGTACCAAATCGGCCGCAATTTCCGCAATTTTACCACAATAATCCTGCAATATTTGACAAAATCCGCAATATTCCCCGCAATTTGTGGCATTTTTCCTCACAACTTTTTCCGCGATATTTCCGAAATGTCTCCGCAAAATGCAAGTAATATTAGCAAGAGTACATAACCCCATGGGCCCAAGAGTGTGCAACTCCAGCTATGGGGTCTGCGACGGCAGAACTTCACATCACGTGATGAACCCGTGCAGGCGTGCACTCTAGTGCATGATAGATACTGGGTTGTACGCAGCCCAGCTTTGGGTACAACTCTCTTGTGGTCACTTTGCACTGTTTGCCAGCATAACCTTTTGAACCATGTCACGTGATGTGAAGTTCTGCCGTCGCAGCACAGCATAGAGGTTGTGCAGGCAGTTGCACACTCTTGGGTTAGGGCGCGCTCACACTGCGACCATGAGCACGCGTCCATGCGTCAGAAAAACGCAGAAACGTGGGAGTCGTGCTCACACTAGGCCTCGTACACGCGTAGACGTGAAGTTGTCACACAAACTTTACGAATTGCAGTTCGTGTCCAAAAGAGTTCGTGCGTTTCCTAATAAAGTTGTGGCCCGTTTGGGATGTAATTTTTCACATGTTGCATATGCGCATGTTGGAGGAAGTGCCTCGTGGCTCGTATTCTTGAAGTCGACGAAAATAATTCATACAATCAGGTAGGTTTGGACTCTTGAGGGACTGCCATGCCGCTGACATCCAAGCGCTTTCGCTTTCGCTTTCCTGACCTCGTGGTCAGAGCAAGTGCCAGTGCAGTGGAAATTCCGGTAGTTGTTTCTTTCGTCTGTTGCCGAGATGAGAACTGTATTTTCCGATGATATGTAACTGAAATGTCTTGAGGTATGGCATTCCATCATCGCAGAAAAGTAGAGAAAGATGATTTCCGAAACCGAAAAGCCAGACCAAGCTGCCATCGTATTGAACGAGTACACTGTAGAAATTGGTCACTGACCCGATCACAACGAAGCAACTACAAAAACAAAAACAAAATCGACATCGTCCAAAAAGGGCAAAGAATGGCGGTGCGTGCGTGCAGGACCACAACTACAAAATTTTAAAAATGTGCAAATGTCGAGGTGACATCGACAACCGCCGATTTTCATGAATCAACACACCGGAATTTAAGAAATTGAACATACTTCAGGCCAGGTTGTACACAAATACGCTTCACGTCTACGATCATGTTGCCGCCAAGTCGTGGCACCCCCCTCCGGAGGTCGCGGTCACGATTTGAAACGTGGCCGCGACGTTTTGGTCAAGTTCATGCCGTTGCCATGCAACTTGGCCGCATGGCCGCATGGACACTGGTTTTGGTCGCAGTGTGAGCGCGCCCTTATGTACTCTTGATATTTAATAGTTAGTTTCTGGAGGCAGTGGAGGAACATACATGTTGTCCCGCTCGCGCCCGTACGGAACGTACTACGGTGGTACGACTTCGACTTCAAACTTTCAAAATTTGAGTGCGCCGAGTAGGACTAAAAGCACCTCTGACATGGCCATTTTTTCAAGTGCGAGGAAGATGAGTAGATCTACACCAGGGAGTCGTCAAATACCGGGAGTGGAAACGAGATGCGCGAGCGTGATCCATGCTCGCCTTGCGCTGGAGCACGCCGATTTTTTTCCAAATAATCTTTTTTGTGCCACATTCACCAATTCCGCGGGATTTTCAAAATGTCAAAATCTATTTTTGGTTCTTCCTGCAAGCGGAGCAGTTTTGACGTCTCCTTACATAAACCTTCTCGTCAGATTTCCGCTTCCCTTTTGTAGTATTATCACTCTTCGTCGTGGATTCGTCGGCAGTGCATGGTCATGCTGGACAGGAAGATATCGGTAGCCATTTTACGAGTGATGTTTGGAACTTTGGCGAGAGGTGAGTAAAACCAAGCTTTATCGAGTGAATACTTCTATCACTGAATAGCTTTGTTTTGGTTTGTTACACACGCATGCTGCATGTACAGAGCATTCGATTTATCAACCTCCAGTCAAGTACAGACCCAGGGAAGCTTCTGTACTGTTGCAAGGGCCATCCACTACGCCGTGAAGTTGAACAGCCCCGAAGTTGTAACCTTTTATCTAAGATTTACATATTTTATCGTGATGTTGCACATGCTGATCGTCATCGCCGAACTGACCTGTTGAAGATGGTGAAGAGGAGTAAGGTTGACACTATTAATCTGGCCTGGACGTCTCTCCTCGAGACACTGTCCAAGTTGCCAAGTCATGAGAAAATGGATGTCCTGGGTGAGTATCATCTCTTTTACTTGCCTAATGATCGTGCATAAATGTGAAACTCGTAAAAAGAAATGCAATGGTAGATTTAAGAAACTATGTGATGGTCAGGAATCAGGATACACATGGCATTATCTACCTGGATGAATACTTGTGACAATTTTAATATAGAAATACTGCGCTGTTTTCCGTGTGCGTTTTGTCCAGACCTGGAGACCACATCAGCTGTGTTTTCAAGTTTAATTTGCGGTACAGTAGTGGCAAGAAAGCCGTCCATCATGCCAGCATCATCCGCAGCAGCAACAGCAGCAGCAGCACCCCAGCCCACCGCCATAGTCAACTGCACTGCAGAGACACCAAAAAGATACCATGGTGGTTGGTATGTTGTTGCGGTGAGAAGAGAACTGGAAGCTAGCAGAAAGCCTGAGTTAACTAGCGTCAAGCCGGTGTTGGCGACTTTCGGCTATGAAATTCTGGCCAACATGTCTCCGAATCTACCAAACTTTGAGAAGATAATTGAATCTGAGACACATGAGCATCCACCATGTGTGTGTTCGTGTGCGTGCATGCACAGCGTGGGCATGTCAGTATGTGTGTGTATGTGTGTGTGTGCTGCCAAAGATGTCTCTCTTGTCGTGCCGATTGAATATGGTCCCTGATCTCTTGGCAGACTGCCGACTTTCTGCCGTCGCTCGGCGTTTCCATGTTGTCGGCCCCGCAAGGGGACAGGTGACCGTAATGGCAGTGTTTACCAGGACCAGGTTTGTGTGTATGTGTGTGTGTGTGTGCATGCATGCATGTATTCCAGTGTGTGTGTATGTGTGTGAATGTGCGTGCATGCGCAGTTCGTGCATGCCGTGTGTGTGCATGTGCAGTTTGTGCATGCCAATGAGTACGTGCGCACCCGTATATTGGTACGTGCGCACCCGTATATTGGTGCGTGCATGTGCGCATGCGTAACTGCTGACACCCAAAGTTGGCAAAAAGAAGCGAGACAGAAAGGGAGAGGGATTTAGAACAGTTTAATTCGGTGTGCATTGTCAACTCTGTGATACTCGCCACAATCGGCCAAATCTGTAATTGGATTCTCAGTGTTGGTGGTGCATATACGTTGTCATGCTTCCTCTTGACATGAGACATACTTAAAGCGGTGATGTTCTCTTACACTGAAGAAGAAAACAAGAGAAATTCCTTGACTTTATAATAATGTTGTCGTGATTTAAAAATCAATAATGTTTTAGAAACGAAGGGTCCCTCAAAAAGTCAGTGGCATACCATCTTACACCGAGAAAATTCACAGGTAGCACGTATATGAAAAGGACAATGGTTACGAGAAGTTTTTTCGTGGGTCGAACCAAGTGGCTTTGATTACTGAGGCTGAGCTATTTTCCTCGATAAATTACATCAAAAGTCACGTCACTATCCGCGCGTGAATCGGGCCTCCAGTCATACATCGCAACACTGCGATAACGCCTACCGATAAATTAGGTGTCCTCCTACTAGTAAACGAGCAGACCACTGCAAATATCTCTGTATACACGTTCTGATGGACGCTTTCTCCCAAAAAATACTCAAGGCTACTCTAAATTGCATTTGACAACGCTGAGGTACTCCAGGCACCGCAAAAAAAAATTTTCGCGAGGCGAGCATGGATAATCAAGATTAACGGCGTTTCCACTCCCGGTATTTGACGACTCCCTGATCTACACTAGAAACTAGGTGTTACCATGGTTACCCCCAGCGCAGTCAGCTGATCGCGAGTACTATAGTCTGTTTCAAAAAATAAGCAATCAGGTTTTGGTCTTAAAAAGTATGAAGATAAGGGAAATTTGGACAACGAAGTACATAAAAGGGCTGGTTAGGGCACGGCAAATTGTTCTGTGAAGGTTTCGAAACAATTGGACCAGCCGTAAAGGAGTTAGAATTTCGGCCAGGTTTCCAGCCTTTTCCCATGGTTTGCAATTTGCCCTGGAAGGCAGTATCGATTTTTCTATCAAAACCCACGATTTGTCTTTTCCTTTCTGGCCTTGTGGTTATGGATGCTGTCTGCGCTGACCATGAAGTTGTGAGTTCAAATCCCAACCTATCTTCAACTCACACTTTTTTCATTGTTTTTTGGTGATCAAGCAGACTTGTTGTTGTTCACGATTGTTGTTGTTGGAGCTCCCGCTTCCTCCCGAACTGACTGACACTTGACTGGCTCACGCCATGTGAACACACGCACAACACTGAAACGGTGTGAGTGAATACGGAAGTCATTGCGCTGTAGCTACGTGTTGAATACACCGTCACATCGATCGATCGATTTCTTTTTGAGAATTATTTTAGTATTTCAAGATCGCCAATTTATTTGAATTTAGAAGTCAATGCCGTCTTCTATCAGCTTCCACAGGCGTCTGCTTTTCTCAAAATGTTGTCGAAGTCATACGGATAGCTTCGCCAAGTCATGGCCTTAGGAATGAGTCTGTGTCGATGTCGTTTTCGTCACATTATTATTATTATTTTGCTTGTTCGCGTTGGCATCAACCTGCATAAAGCAGGTATATAGCCTTCGCTTAAGCTGCCATAAAAAAAGAAAGCTCATCCTAAGCGAGAGGGCTAGAGGAAAATATAACGATAACGAGATACAGAATACAACTTGAGAAATCCAATGAGTTCAACATAAAATTCAAAACAAGAAAGAAAGGAAAGAAAAACAGAGCCGAATCTACCGATTGATCCATCAATCGACAAAGGGGACTAATCCGTTAATGTCGCAAAGTAGAAGCTGATTGTAGTTGCAGATCTCCAGGCCAGGGCCAGCATATTGCCGATTCTGGATAGGTCTCTGCAGCATTTGATGTGGTTATTATCATAATTTGTAAGAAAGGGTTTGCTCCCCACACCGGAGCTCGCGCTATCCCGCCGACTTTACTTGACACTTGACTGACTCACGACTGCCATCCAGAGCACACGAGAAGTCCATCGAACCTTCGACTCGGCAAACCTGCAAGAAAGCACCACTCCCTGCTCAATACACAGTGTTTCGGGGAATTCACCCCTCATCAGTTGAGCTTGAGTAGGCTGAGGAAGATTGTGCCTGAAGAGCACCACTTATATAGTGCTCTCCAGGCACAAACATCACCAGGGATACAAACTTACAGAGACGCTCCGTTTCCAGCGCGACAAACACCTCGTGAACACCAGATAGCAGCGTGAGTCAGTGTCGCTCCTGGACGGTGAGACAGACGTCGAGGACCCTCGGTCATTCGCAACGCTGTCACCTCCATAATTGTTGATAAAATTGTTAGAGTATCTAGAGTATCTAGTATCTGGAGTGTCACATGGTGAGAGTAAATTGCATCGCAGCTCAAAGAAACTATTTGGTCACAAAACATATTGGGACCCAAGCCGCTCGTCAGCCTTGGCATTTACTACACTTTCGACATGTCCTCTCTGACTCCATACGAGGAAGAACTCGTTTGTTACGCACACGACTGTACCGACATCGACCTGATCTGCTGAGTGAGTTGTCATTTTTCATGCTTTCGCGCGGAATATTTCTTCCAGTTCACAGTGAGTTTTTCCAGGCAGCGCTCGAGCGCTCATAGCATAAGGTAAGATGGCAAACTCCCCGGGCGATCACTAGGATTGCTAATCTTTTTGAAACTGACTGTAGTATCAAGCAGCACGAAGACCAGGATTGCGCTGTGCCTAGTGAGCACGACGTAGTGTAGTATCCCTGCCCGACCAATACGGAAGCAGTACGGAACTAATACGGAGCTTGCCTGATGTATATTTAGTGTATCTCCGTATGTAAGCGTACGTCATTTGCTGCATAAAAGCGGCTGCGCATTTCTGTTTTGATGAAGATTAGATTAGATAGCAACGAAAGCTAACTCGAAGAAGATGAGATTTTGATAATAACGAGCTATTCAACCTCCAGGTGTGCACCGGAGAGAAAGTCAGTTATTTTGCCGTTTCTTCTTTCACTAATAATTATATCTCAGGTGTGTACCTGAAAGAAGTAGAATAAAAGTAATTATTGTTGATTTCACCGCGCCTACCACTCGGCTACCCATTACATTGGTGGCAGCGGTGGGATTTTAAATAGAACAATGTGATTCGACCCCAGACCCCCATGGCTCAACCCGCTGCAGCTCCGTGCTACGAATTAAGATGAAAATCATGTTTCTTGCCTTCCTGGGCTTGGCCCTGCTTATTAGCTTGCAGCACAGTCAGGGTGCTAGCGTGGATCACCCTTCTCTCCGCACGGCACTCACTGGAGACTCCGATGGCGATTCCAAGCGACCCACTACCTACATGTATACTACCGGTGGTGATGGCGAAGCTGATGAGGACGACGACATGCAGGCTGCTGACCAAGACAAGGAGGGTATTCCCCAAGACCAGCAGCGTTTGATTTTCGCCGGCACGCAGTTGGCAGACGGCCGAACCCTGAGTGACTACAACGTTCAGCAGGAGTCCACTATTCACTTGGTACTTCGTCTCCGTGGTGGGATGCAGATTTTCGTCAACACTCTTCCTGGCTAGACCATCACTCTTTACGTCGCGCAAAGCGATGCTATCGACAATGTGAAAACCATGATTCAAGACGAGGAGGGAGGTCATTTGTCTGACGCCGAGCTAGCCGCTGTGAGTGACCGGCTCAACCAAGATGAAACCTGGCTCGCCCTCCGCCGTAGCTCCAGCCGCCGCCGTGGTTACTAACGCTGATTCCAGGTATGGCATTTTCTTTCCTGTCTTCCTTCAGTCTCCCTGTTCTCTTCAGTCTTCCTTTATGCGAGTGTGTGAATCCAGTTTAGTTTGGTAGGCGTCTGATCATGGTGAGCCACGGTTTACCCAGCTAACGTGGGACAATGTGTGTGACAACGCCCCTTATAGTTATAGTGTATTCAGTTCGGTTTTTGAACTGCGATGTTCCTGGCGGCTTGTGCCAGCGTTGTGCAGCAAGAGTGCTGTGGATTTTCAGGTCCTATTTGGAGAACAGTTCTTTCCCCTTTTGACCCCGTGAGATCGTGTGAACCTGGTGTGCTTCTACTTTATGATTTGTTATCAGTTCATTTCTTCTGTCTACTCTAAACGTTATCATTTCCGATATAATTTGCCATCTTCCGGTTGACGCTGTGTTCGTAACTCTTCACTAATTTTTTGAAACCCACGAGGGCGTGATAATCTGTAGGAAGGGAGGGTGTAGTATCCCTGCCCGACCAATACGGAAGCAGTACGGAACTAATACGGAGCTTGCCTGATGTATATTTAGTGTATCTCCGTATGTAAGCGTACGTCATCTGCTGCATAAAAGCGGCTGCGCATTTCTGTTTTGATGAAGATTAGATTAGATAGCAACGAAAGCTAACTCGAAGAAAATGAGATTTTGATAATAACGAGCTATTCAACCTCCAGGTGTGCACCGGAGAGAAAGTCAGTTATTTTGCCGTTTCTTCTTTCACTAATAATTATATCTCAGGTATGTACCTGAAAGAAGTAGAATAAAAGTAATTATTGTTGATTTCACCGCGCCTA